GAAACTACTACGTACCAACGCGCTGAAATTCGACGATAATAAGAAAACAGTTTCTGGTATCGCCAGAATATGATGAAAATGATATTAAATTCAATCATATGAAAGACTATTTTTTTAATAAACCTATCAAAATGGTGACAACAAACTATCGGGAATAAATACAATTTTACCATGAACAACATGCATTGTGGATGCTCCATGAACACGCCAGGACGATTATTGTGGTGCAAAAAACGATTTCTATGATAAGCTGAACTGAGAAATAGCATTTGTTTTTGTAAACTTCTACTGGCAAAACATCGTCCAAAACATTACGTAATATGCAGCTGTTAGTTGCGTAACTGGAAGCTATCATCATGAACACCCTTAGATGTGAAGACTGTAGAGTGGTATCTGCGTCTGTCACCTGTTGCCAGGGTGACATTCTGTTATGTCAAAGCTGCAATGGAAAACGTTTTGGAAGTGATAGTGGTGATAAGAATACTGATGAATCATTGAGAATATCTAACACAGCTAGTGGCGTGATAATTAATGAGATGCTGTGCTTCATTGTAAATAAAAATGACATCCTTACGACCGGTGTCATCGTCAAGCTTTGTACTGATTACTTTGTGGACGAAGAGGTTGAATCGTCCAAGAAAACCTTGTTCGAGTTATGTGGAAATGATCGCGCGCGATATATTAAACGACAAGGTCCAAATAAACGATCTAACAATATTCTAGATGTAGTAAAGTTGGTCCATGAGACGGATTTCGAGGATCTCCCTAGTTTTGTTGCGAAAGACTTATCGAAATTACCACCAATCGACATAACGCATGTAGATATCTCGGCAGTTATGAAGGAAATGACAGCCCTAAGGCGAGACATGACGGAACTGAAAGATCAAGGAATGTTCCGGTCGGCTTCAAGCTGTGAAATACTGCAAGATGTACAGAATTTGCGTCAAGAGATTGACGACCTTAAAAATGGACTTAAAGAGTCTCGCATGGAGTTGAACTGTATGACTGATACTGCAAATGCAGTTCCCATGGCTACTGATTGTTTACCATCGCCATCTGGTCATAAAACTAGTAAAGTAAGTTGCAATGCTGAACCTACTCTGCAACATTCCTCTCCATCGGTTACTTATGCAGGTATAGTTTCGTCGCATACGTCTCATGAAATGAATGAAAGAAAACCTGCCCATGGAAAATTTAATATGAAATTACGTGACAAAAACAGTGATGGTTTTACCACCGTGAACCGTAAACGTAAAAATCAACGAGGCCCCAGAGTGGGCACTGCTGATCCAGACAGAGACTGTGCCATTAAAGTTGTTCATTACAATCCACCATTTAGGGCGTTTATTACCAGGCTTTCACCTTTGACATCAACGGAAGATATTCAAAGCTTTGTTAAAAAGTCGCTTAACGTGCAAGTTAACTGCGAAAAACTCAAAACTAAGTTCGACACATACTCTTCATTTCTTATTGAAACCACGCGAGAGTTCTCTGGGCAGATTATGGACCCCACTGTTTGGCCAACTGGAATTCTTATTCGCAAGTATTACTAATAACAATGTCTGTACGAATAGTTTCATTCAACTGTCGTGGAGCAAAATCCTCTATTAACGATATTCACGCTCTCTGTGACTCTCATGACATAGTGTTAATCCAAGAGCACTGGCTTAGTAACTCCGAATTAACACTTCTAGGGAGTATACATAATGGCTTTAATGCATGTGGAGTTTCGGCAATGGATGAAGAGACGGGAATCCGCGTGGGACGGCCGTACGGAGGCGTTGCCATCTTGTGGCGCAAATCTCTTGGCAATAAAATTAAAATACGATATTTAAATGATAACAGACTTATTGGCGTGGAACTGCGTACTGAACATAGTCATATACTCATACTGTGTGCATATTTGCCCACTTGTTCAGATGATAATTTTGATGATTTTCTTAGCTATTTGGCTAAAATTTATTGTATTGTTCAGGATTGCAATGCTACGAATGCTATTATTCTAGGTGATTTTAATGCAAATCTTGGATCGCTATTTGGGCGCGAACTTGAACATTTTTGCTCAGAAAATAATATATATGTTTCGGATATATGTTTCCTTGGTCGTTCCACTGTAAACTTTACATATTACAGCGAGGCTCATGGTAGTACTGGGTGGTTAGATCACTGCCTTAGTACACCCTCTGCTCACAACGCAATTAAGAAAATACGTATTATGAATGATTTTATGTCGTCGGATCACTTTCCTCTCAGCGTTGAGATAGAGTGTGCGGGTCTGACACAATTTGAGCGCCAGCATCGATTTGGAAATTACCATAGAATTGTGCCGAAGTGGTCTAATGTGACCCAACATCAAATAAGAAGGTACCAATCTAGGACTGCTCAGCTTCTGTGTACCATTAATACACCAAATAACGTACTGAGTTGTCGTGATCCTAATTGTAAAAATCAAGACCATATGATCGCTCTTAACAGTTATTAGGCTGACATTGTTCAATCATTGCGGATAGCGGCTGAGGATACTATACCAACTGTCAAACCTAAACGACATCATGAAATTCCAGGATGGAATGAACAAGTTCGTGACTTTCATAACATTGCTAGGGATGCATTCATGGTATGGGTAAGTAATGGAAGACCTCGTACTGGACCAATATATGAATTGATGCGTAAAACGCGGGCAAAATTTAAGCTAATGATTCGAATGTGTAGACGAAACGATGAACAAGCGAGAGCTGATGCGTTAGCTTATAAGTTATCGCAGGGGAAATCTCGAGACTTTTGGAATTCAGTTAATAATATGACTAACAATGTTGGACCTCTACCATCTACTATAGAGGGTTGTGATGGGCAAACAAGCATTTGCAATATGTGAAAAAAAAACATTATGAATCGCTTTTCAGTCTGTAACAAATTGTCAAAACAAAAATCATGTGATATCTGCTGTGAATGTCGTGAATTACCACGAAGATATGATGGTCACCTGTAATGAAATCAAAGTAGCCATTAATAAATTGGAAAAGGGAAAATGTATTGGAAAAGACTAGTGATTTTCAGTTTGGGTTTAAACGCAAGCATTCAACAGAAATGTGCATCTTCGTAGTGAAGGAAATTGTTGACTTCTGTAAAAGTCACAACTCGCCCGTTTTTGCTTGTTTCATGGACGCAACAAAAGCGTTTGACAGGGTAAACCATTGGAAATTATTCAAAAAATTACTTGATAGGGAAATGCCTGTATTCATTGTGCGAGGTCAAACTTTTTGTATCCTATGGGCTTCAGAAATATCTGCGTCCTTTAGAGTGACCAATGGAGTTCGACAAGGAAGCATTCTTTCGCCGACGTTAATTTCAATTTATATTGATGATCCAACAAGCGGGTGTTGGATGTCATTTAGCTGGTAAAATAATGAATCATCTTTTTTATGCTGATGATATTTTGTTAGTTTCACCTTCTGTCAAATCATTGAAAAAGCTCGTTGAGATCTGCGAGTGTTATGGTGAGGAGTTTGACATTCTTTTCCACACTACTAAGACAGAATGCATGTCATTTTTTCCAAAACGTGGGGACAGA